GTGAATAATGGAAACAATAGTTTGGATTCTGTGTATGAAATTTGTTCACATGTATAGATCATGAAATTCAGAAAATAAGTGAAAACCCTCAAACCTAAATACAGAACTAAATTCATGCATTTATGTACGCTTTGTTGCCCGTTTTGACAAAGGCGAACTAAGATAAGGGAAGCATCTTACAAAATGAATATTTCAGGGTGGCCAAGTTTACCATTCAAATTTCAATGACGAAATGGCAGAGATTTTAGAGACAACATCTGATAAGCTCTTCACACCGGGTTCTCTGTCAAAAACTACAACAATAATTGATACGTGTATGCATATTTTACCGGTATCCAAATACTTTTGCTTTATTCACAGAAAATATGTTTTAAAGGCTTTTAGTCACCTTGCAATTTATATCTGATTTATAGTAATGTTATACATGTACAGTAGACTACTAAAGGATTCATGCCCTTACCAAATTTTGTGATTTTTAAGTATGTGAAAAATTGATTTGTCCCGATTTACGTTTCTTGAGAATGTGACGTATCAAAGCTTACATCTAAAAGTATTTAACAAATACCCATTATTCAACAGCCCACCATTAATTCTTGAGATATGAAAAACACAAAAACATAATATTTACAAGTGGTATGAATAATGCAGTTCTTAACTATATTTGTACATTTTACAAATTATACAATTCGTATATCAATACTTCATACCCAGACTAATAACCAAAACATATGTTCATTTTAAATACGAGCTTTGCATATCTTCGACGTAATGTTGTAGGAGCCAGGTTTTGTATTTCAGATTAGTTTCTTGATAAACAGGTTACTGAAAGGTACTGTAACATTCTAAATTGTATCACTACGTGTTTTGTAGTTTAGATGTACTGTATACCCTGTTGGTCGTACAGGTGGAATAATTTTGTTTATCTCAATTTATGGAATGATTTTGACAATGATCTATTCCTAATAGATCCAGAGAATAGTATACATTCTCAGATTTTGTTGAATAATAATTTACGAGTGTTTGTTTTGCGTGACTGCTAAAGCATGTGTATGCTACTATGCTTATCAACTAGGGGACCTACGTTCTTAAGTCATAACGGACAGTAATGGGGATTAATGGCTCGCAAAAGGGCACTAATATAGCACATCGACACAGTCTTTCAAAAAAAAAAATGAAACGCCGATAATACCGATAATGCCGATAACAACAATTTATCATGGGGCCTCACATTTACGAGGCCATTGCTTTGCCACTGAATCATGATTGTACGCAGCGGGCGCTAGGGTAGGGGGCGGCCCCCACAAATAAAAGTAAATAAAAGAAAATGTAATCAATTATTAATAATTCATCGAATTTTCCCCCGGTCCCCAACAGGACAAATTCTTCTGTGTGGCCATGTCTGGAACCATAATGCTTGGCCGTACAGAGGAATTTTTCCTGTTGCGGACCGAGGAAAATTGCAATGAATTATTTATAATGTATTGCATTTGTGTTTGTATTTGTGAGGGCTGCCCCCTATCTTAGCCCCTGCTGCGTACAGTTATGTTTCAGTGGCAAAGCAATGGCCTCGTATATGGAACTGTGATGCTCCAGGATAAAAACCTTGTCGATGTGCTATAATAGTGCCCTTTCGTGAGGCATTAATCCTCATGCTGTCAGTTATGACTTAAAGATGTAGGTCCCCTAGTTGATAGACATAGTAGCATACACATGCTTAATCAGTCACGCAAAACAAACACTCACAACCTATTATTTAATAAAATCTGAGAATGTATACAATTATCTAGAACTATTAGGAATACAAATGGCAGGTGAAAGAGTTGCATGGCGTGCTCTCGTGAAGACCACAGCAGCGCTTTACAGCAGCGCTTTACAGCGCCACCTGAAGTTGATGATGATGATGGTGATTAGGAATAAATAATTGTCAAAATCATTCCCTAAATTGGGTTAAAAAGAATTATTCCACTTTTATGACCAACAGTGTACATGTACACTGTGCTTTTAGCATGTATATACACGGAACTTTCTTTGAAATGTTTATTTCCTTTTAAATGAGGCTCACTTTATTAAAAACATATTAATGAAAAGAGATTACTTCATATTTGTTAATGTTGAAATGAATTACCATTTACATCAACTCCTTTAAATGTTATGCAATGTACATTTTATTACATAGACAATTCAAAATAATCAATTTCGATTCCTTCAACATTATGTTACCTTAGCTTATACAGACCAACAGAATAGAATTGTTTTAAAGCCACATAGCAGTCAGTATCCATGTGTATTGCAGCATAATTCGCTGAGACTAGATTTGGTTGAATTACCAATTAATTTTTCTAAAGCAGCGGACCCGTGGTCCCTCCCGAAAATATTTTAACTTGTTTATATATCTCAAGGGTGAGGGAAATTTGATGTGTATGATGAGAATTTCAAACGGTGGTATATAGGGCGCATTGCATTACCTAAGACCTATATGTCGTATTAGAGTGAAGTCTACTCGTGGTCATTGACAACACCTGTTATTGGGTAAACACCAGGATGGTGTCAAATTCCCCATGAAAACCCACTACTATGCATCTTTAGCGCAAATGTACACGTATATTAACAAAAAATACTTTTTGAGAACTCCTCTCCTGTTAGAAGACCGAGAAGCTCAGTTTTCATGGATTAATTGTCCATTTGTATTAATAAATTGTTACTGTAAAATCAATCAAAATTCAAATATAGATCGACCATAAACAACCCAGGACCGAGGTTTACAAGTGAAAGTGTAAGTTCCTCAGGCAGGGTAACATAACTAGTACATAATAATGTGCGGACGAAAAAACGGATACAGACATAGATTCAATTATAATTAGGTTTAATACATTTCAAACATGCCAAATAAAACTAATAATTAAAAGCACGACTTATAAATAAATGCGGTTAAAGATAAACTTTAGTACTGGTAATGCGATTGCATTGTGAAAGAAAAGGTGTGGAAAGGATCAGAAACAGTTGATCATGTAGCATGTAAGTATTGGTGAGTGCTGCAAGGTTCTGGAGTCATCAAAATCATAATAAATTTAACCGAGTCTTGGTAAAGTAACAAGCACTCACGTAGAAAGCTATATATGGGACAACACACATGGTGTCGGGGCTAGTACTACCTTGATTTCCTTGTCTTTCTATGCTCATTACTCAGCCAGTATACATTTTCTTCCAAAATTGTTTGGCACATGTCATTTATTTGTAATCTTGAACATTCAGTGTATGTTTCGTTTAATTCTGTGAGAATTTTTTTTTTTTTTTTTTACCAGTACTGGAGTTTATCTTTAAGTGAAATAATGTTAGGTCATTGATTATGTTGGTATCGTGGATTGGCATAGTGTGTGCCATCCCTTTGATATCTATGGATCTAGAATGATCAATTAAGCAGAAATTATCAAGGATTGTTGTAAGAGCGGACACATAATTACAAACAAAGACGTGTCGCGTAGTCAGCACCTGCCGTAAATTAATATTTTTCTTAAAGGTACTATGTCCCATTTACAGGCCAAAAAGATGAAAAGGTTTGAATCCAACGGCATTTGAAAGATAATACTTATTTAGAACTTCCCTTAAAAAAGGGGGCTTAAAGATGTCTTTAAGTGGGAAAATAACGACTATTAGTTGTCGAATCGACTTAAGAGCTATAGACCCAGTAAGTAATAGTCTGATGTTCAGACCATTGTACCGAATGGTCGTACGTTTTATGCTGCGCAAAGATTCAATCAGTTTAATTTCGGCCATTACAAGAAGTGGTTTATTGATGTAGACAAATGCTCATGTACCCTTTACAGCTCATTTTATGTATGTTATTACCAAAGAAGAAAAAAGCCAGTCAGTCACTCAAAAGTGTCTGACAGTGAAGTCTGGCAAGTAAACGGGTTTCCTTGCGTAATTCGAATATTAGGACACTGCTAACGTTTAAATTTCACAGATAGGACAAACATGACATATTCATAATTCTTGCACAGTTCTACAGAATTTGATGTTGGCTGCAAAAGGGACATAGTATCTTCAATGCTCAAATTTGAAGAAAAGAAAAAACTATTTATTTATTTATTTATTTCATTTATCGGTATATAATGATCAACCAGCAGCACAAGTCTGAAAGGGTCAATTTACAGAGGCACAGTGATGTATAACATGTACAATAGTATTACAAAACATAGTAAGTAAATCAGTAACATAATGTCAATACAGTACATTAAGTGAAAGGATGTACTAGCAGGAGATAATAATTACATACTTGTTATTCCTTTGTGTGATTATTTGCAAAAGACATGACCTATGCAACATAATTATGGTCAAGTCTTTAAAAATCTCCCAGGACCTGAACATAATCAAATTGCTAAATGTATATACATACAATGGTTATGTCGGAAGTTGCAATTCGTAGATCAACCACCTGTTTTAAAGATCATTAAAAAGAGGACACACACTTAGATAACATACAGGTCAAAATGTCCAACTTCCCACATCTCCCCAGTCGTCCCGACTATTTTGTAGGGGGAAAAAATTTGATATTGCAATTCGTCTGATGACACAATAAAACGATGAAGTAGAAACTATACACAACGTCTACACTTTCCTTTATTGGAAGTTCACTCACGACAATTATGATCCTTTTCTTTTCTCACAAGAACATATTACCATTGATCGCGTGTAAAGGGCTTTTTTTGTGTTAATACTTACTATTGGCAGTATTTATCCTCTAATTTTGTTTAATACTCTATTTAAAAAGTGTTTTTACTGCTTCGTGCTTTTAAGCTAAATAGGAATAACTCTATTGAAAAGTGATTAGTTTGGATACTAACTTTGCGACTTAAGGATAGTCGGAATAATCAGAGATTCCTAATTTTCTTCATTAGATGTGAAATTATTCTTGTTAAACGAGAATAAGTGTAGTTGATTTATTGATGGTAAATTTGCACCTTAACAATATTTGGGATAATCAGAGATTACTCATTTTCTTAAATGGGAATAACGCTGTTGAGGGCCCTGTTGGCTCTCATGCTCTTCTCAAACTGGGCCCAGAAGAGTTCCTGGCCATCTTCATCGTCCGTCCACAACATGTAAGGTTTGTTCTTACTCAGGAATAACCGAACCAGGTACGGGAGGTCCTCATCCAGGATGTCCTCAATGAAAATCAATATTACCTTGTCCAGTCTGGTATCATTGACGTGCTCTAGGGCTATGCGCAGCTTGGTCAAGAACCAGGCATCATCTACGGAGTTGTAACTTATCAACAAGACAGTCTTGAAGCTGTTCTCGGTGGCGTAGTGAAGAGCACTGATGTAGAACATCCCGATGTTGAGGTCGTTGTCGCCGAAGACCACTTTCTGCAGATGTGGAAACCTCTCCTGCAGTATTGGTTTCATGATCTGGTCCACCCATTCCTCGTCACCTTCATTGCACATGATGTTTAGCTGGTACTCGTAGTCCTGGGCGTCAAAGTCCTGGTTGATTTCCTCGTAGCCAAAGATAGCTAGCTTGAGGAGGAAGAATTTGTAATTTAGCCACCATCGCTCCCTGTAAGCCACCAAGCAAATCGCCACGACCAAAACAACTGACAAGGATACACATGTGATCATCACAATGTCAGTGCCACAGTATTGGTCAGGATTGAATGAAAGTAAAGGTAAATTGACTTCTTCTTTGATGGACGTTAGCGAGCAGAAAGTCTTCTCTACATTTAAGAGTTCAACCTTGCCAGAACGGAGCCACTTTACGAACCAATTCAAGTGGCACGTACAGGAAAAGGGGTTCCCATAAGCATCCAATTTCAGTGTCGTGTTTGTTGGGAACATCGTACGTGGTTCTATGGTAGCAATTTTGTTTTGCTGGATGAACAAACTGTGCAGAGAGGTGGTTTCATTGAATAGTGTCCTTGGAATGGTTTCAAGTTCATTGTTGCTCAAAAATAGAACGGCAAGATGGTATTGCGTTTGAAGCAGACATTCAGGAATCTTCTTGATCTCATTGTTGCGAAGGTCCAATGTCGTGAGGGCAGTCAGGCTGTCAAAGACACCACGGCTCAAAACGGTTATAGAAGACTGCGACAGGTAAAGTATCTTGAGGTTCTTCAGTGGGTTGAAAGTACCTGGAGCTAACATATCAAGCTTATTCTGTCTTAGATCCAGTCTCTCCAAAGAGACTAGGCCCCGAAACAGAGAGCTTTTAGTAATGACGTTGTACATATCTGTACTCCTCAGACTGTTCTCACGCATAATCAGCTTGGTGAGAGATGAGGTATTTGTGAATTGACTTATGGTGGATATTTTCAATGGGGCAAATGACAAATTCAAGACGTGTAGCGCCTCTAGGTAGCGAAAAGCGTTATTGATTGTCTGGAAATGCTCATTGGAAAGATACAGCTCCTGGAGAAGCCTCAGGTTTGTGAACGATTTTGGAGAATATGTATTGGAGATTTCATTGTTCGACATGTTCAGAATTTTCAGATTAGTGAAACCCCCCATTAAAAACCTCCTGATCCCTATGAATTTGTTAAAAGACAGATCAATGTACTCTACTGAGGGAAATGTTACATTCTTTATATTGCTTTCGATATCCTTAATATTATTGTGCGCCAAGTCGAGGTGAAAGAGTATGGATAGGCCAAATTCTATGCCAATGGATAGCCTTGCAATCTTATTCCCATTAAGTTTCAGTTGCTGTAACATGTTATTGCAAGAGAACATATCTAAGCTTAAGGTTGCGAGGCGATTGTAAGACAGATCCAACTGAATTAAGTGATCTAACCCACAAAAAGATCTGTTTGATAAACTAGCAACCTTGTTTCCATTAAGTGAAAGAAATTTGGTCTGATTGAAACCCCAAAATGCAAAGTCAGGGACGTAACTTATCATATTTGATGTAAGACTTAATTTAGAGATGTTGCCCCATTCCCCTAGAGAGACACGTGACTTGTTCAGTGGAATGATTTCATGTATCTTGCATGAATCAATGTAAAGGTTTCTGATGACAGTACTTCCTAAAAACATGGAGGTGTGAATTTTGTTTAAATTGTTTTTCGAAAGAAACAAGTTCCTCACTGTGCTCAAATATGAGAAAACGTTTAGAGAAAGATTATTTAAGGCATTATCTTGAAATTGCAGAACTTCCAGTGAACAATTCTGTAGAGGTCTTAAGTCATGGGATTCAAAGAAGGAGATATTATTGCTACGTAAGTCAAGTTTCTTTATTCTGTTAGACCATGGCAGTGCATCACTAGGAAAAGAAGACAATCGGTTCTTACCTAGAATGAGTGTGGAAAGGAATTGATTTGTAAAAAACAGACCTGATGGAAGAGAAACTAGTTTGTTTCTATTTAGACTTAATTCCCTGAGATGAACCAGAGGCTTAAAGGTACCATTTTCGATCTGTGAGAGGAAATTGCTTGCCAGCCCTAAGGTAGTGATGTCAGGAAGATAGGCAAAAGAACCGTTGAACAGGGTTGTGATCTTGTTGAAGGAGAGATCAAGCATTACCGTGTTGCTTGGAAGATCCTGAGGAACAGACTTGAGATCTAGATGAGTACAGTTGGCTTTTGATCCGATGCTGGTGTTCCTAAGCTGACAACCTCTGGTTGACTCAGGGCTGAGACTTCCTGAAAAATCCTTCACAAGTGATCCTGTAGAGAGCAGGGACATGGTATACAGCACCCACAAGCAAAAGGAAAACCTTGAGGTTGTATGGGAATTTTTTATCTTCATCATGATTATAATCTCTAGGGTGTCACCAGTGCAGAATGAAAATGTATTGTTTGCTTCAGAATGGCCACGGCTAATTGCTACGTATTCCTAGCTGTGTTAAGAATTGTCCGGCTTATCTCTTGAGTTTCACAATTTCAGACAACGGCCAATATTCAAGTCTTGGTGGTCATTTACAGCGTGCTTCACAAAATCAACATTTTTTAAAATAATTACTAGAGATTCAAAAATTCAGACAGTGGCCGATGTTCAAGTCTGGCGCTCATTTATAATAAACTTCACAAAGTAAAAAGAATTCTTGGTAATCGCTCGAGCTTCACAATTGCAAAAGGTTGTAAAATAAAGTCCCTGGTGCTCATTTACAACTATTAATAATTTCAAAAAATCCTTGATAATTACGTTAGTTTCACAAGTGCAGACGGCGGTCGACATGTATATAGTATATCAAACAATTGCAGTTGTTTGCCAATTCAAAGTATGGTAAAAATTTACTGTGTATTGATAAAATCCATAAAATCATGGCCTCCAAAGGCAGAACACTAAACGTTTCACATCAGGACTTTGAGTGGTCTGTGGCACCTGGGTAATTCCTAAACATCCATTCCATGTACTGTATGACTTGAATTACAGTTGAAAACCTCTGAAGCAATTTTTCCCTTAAGAATCTCAAAGAGATTATTTCAAAACTGCAAAGTATCTAATTCCTAAATGTCCATTCCTTGTCTCAAAGTACAATTGAAAACCTCTGAAGCAATGTTTCTCGAAGAATCTCAAAGAGATGATTTCAAAACTGCAAAGTATCTAATTCCTAAATGTCCATTCCTTGTCTCAAAGTACAATTGAAAACCTTTGAAGCAATTTTTTCGAAGAATCTCAAAGAGATGATTTCAAAACTGCAAAGTATCTAATTCCTAAATGTCCATTCCTCGTTTCAAAGTACAATTGAAAACCTCTGAAGCAATGTTTTTTGAAGAATCTCAAAGAGATTATTTCAAAACTGCAAAGTATCTAATTCCTAAATGTCCATTCCTCGTTTCAAAGTACAATTGAAAACCTCTGAAGCAATGTTTTTTGAAGAATCTCAAAGAGATGATTCCAAAACTGCAAAGTATCTAATTCCTAAATGTCCATTCCTTGTTTCAAAGTACAATTGAAAACCTCGGGAGCAATGTTTCTCGAAGAATCCCAAAGAGATGACTTCAAAACTGCAAAGTATTTAATTCCTAAATGTCCATTCCTTGTCTCAAAGTTCACTTGAAAACCTCTGAAGCAAACTTTGTCGAAGAATCTTAAAGAGATGGATTCAAAACATTAATGGATCTAATTCCTAAAGTCAATTCCTTCTACTATATGACTCGAAGTACAGTTGAAAAACCTCTAAAGATGTTGAATTGCAGAATCAAAATGAATTGAAGTTACAGCTTTTTCACTCCAAGCTTTGAAGACAACAGTGTTTAAAACCCAAAGATTTGATGACCTCAATCAACTTTAAATGTTAGTTTTAATTAGTTTTCATACTCTTGAAATTGATTGTCTCATATCCACAATTAAAAAAACAATTAAGGGATCCAAAAGAGGAAATATCTTAGAGGTTAATCACAAGCATTTTTTTTAATTTAAGACTAGAACTTTATATAAAATTTGTATTTTTACTTTCATAAAACCCAGAATGTATTGAGTACTCAAAGTACTAGTATCATAGATCAAAACGAGCTGCATTTCCTGTTTGATTGGTTTTGTTTTCTTCATCTTCATCTATCTTTCCTTTTTTCTCTCTTTTTTAAATTACAGGATGTTTTGGTAAGCATGATAAAGAGAGCAGAACAAAAATATAACTTCATTTAATTTCACAAAGACATTTCATTTCACAAAGGAAAAGAAATTACTAAAACTGTTATAGTTGATGTCATCAGATAAAAGGAGGGGCGATGACTTAGTCAGAGATGCTAACCCACACAAGAAGTGCCTCAAAATAGTAAAAACCTTTGAGTGACCGGTTTTACCATACTCGTTTTCCCCAATAGACTGTAGTGTTACGAAAACTGTTAGGAAAACGCAAAATTTGATTTCGATTTTCAATCATTAATATCTTGATAATCAGACAGGCGATCGGCATGTAAAAGTCCTGGGGTTACTGACTGACCTAAAGGTTTATAATTGTCATTGTAGCTTGAGCTAAATCAAGGATTTTTTAAAAGGATCTAAGACAAGGTTACCGGATCCCTTTTTTTGGTTTTAATCCATAAAAAGCCATATAAACAGCGGAATAGCATAGAAACATATACAAGTAAATCCCCGAACCCCCAAAAAAACTTTGCATTACAATTTTCTCATTAAATTTTAATGAAAGAGCAAACATTTTGCTTGACCGTACTTACCAGTAAAACATTTTTCTGAAATTTTACTGGCCCAGGGCTGACGGGCCAGTGGTAGTGTCGAATTTTGATGAATTTTTTTTTTTTTTTTTTTTTTAGGATACTCAGTCTGTTTGGGGGGTCAAGAGGTTGGCATCTCTGCTCAGTGGGAGAGCTGTGGTCATACCGAGAGGTCGCGAATCTCTCAGAGAGGACTTAAACTAAAGCCATCGGTCCTGCGGTTGCTTAGTTATATTAAACATACACATCTTTTCTTAGTAGTTGGGTAAGACAAACAAACCATCATACAAGTCATCAAGAAAGACTATCCAATTTAGCCTGCACAAAATTCCTGTTCTTAACACTTTGGAAGCTTTCTTTGCCCCCCCCCCCCCCCCTGATTGGTCTCTCGTTTGCAACACGTGCAATTTTGCATACGGTAAACAATAAACATCAATGGACAGAAGGATTTTTTTTTTGTGCAACATAATTGCCTCGCATGATTGCCTATTTTTGCTCTTGATCTGATTAGCTCCATGACAACCCTTTTAAGTTTTTACTCATGTATATAAATAATCTTCCAATGAAAACATTTAAATAATCTTGAAACCTTTTGTTAACCTATCCCATGAGAAAATAATGTTGGTACATATGAAGAGTTGAATTAGCTTTCAAACCATCTAGAAGGACGGATAAATTTAGACTGCACACAATTTTTGTCATTCATGAGTACCATAAAACATCCATGTCACTATCAGATTGCTTTCAATTAGTTATTGTTTTCATGGGTAATAGAAAGCAGTAATTGTACCCGACACCTGTACATCCTTTCTCCAGTTACAGAGGTTAACAGTGCCACAAGCGTCAGTACTTAGCGGATACTTGCACTTAGTTTTATAAATAGCCACTTTCATTATTTTATTATATAATTATTATCATTAAAATATGTAGCACTATAAGTATCATTATTAATGTAATTATTATTATCATTATTAGTATCAGTATTATCGCATTATAAGTTTTGTTATTATCATTATTATCATTATTAGTATTATTATTAAATAAAAACTAGAAATATTTTATCCCCAGAATATTTTGTATATACTGTATTGTTTTTTCATGGATATATTTTAACTGAAATGTGTACCAATGGCATGCTATTGGCTAAAGGAGAACTAATCCCCAAAGATTTTTTTTTTTTCATTTTTGATTCATATTCATTATAGTTTATTCGATTCCATAAAAATCACATTACAAAACACAAACATTTGCAAATAGTACTGTAAGTAACATAAAAATCTTTTACTAGAATATATACATAAGCACATTAAAATATTAAACAATGATGTTAGTTCTTCTGAGAGATTTATTGCATTCTTGCCCATCATTGATTCCCCACCAAAGTGTATGAGAAAGGCATAAAGCATTAAAAAAGGTATTTTTGAATAAATGAGTTAAAATTATTACTTTATCATATATATTTTCATCAAATTTAATTTTCACCTTCTTGGCTATGATTGTCCCTCATCTAAAAGTAAAGATTTTGTTATTGAATTAGAAAGTCTTTCCAATTAAAGCTTGGTGCATGATACATGTATAACTCCGCTTGGTACGTCACATTTCCCAAAAAATGGCTGCGCCCATGTCATGCTAATGGGCATTACATTATGCCAAGAAATCTTCATTAATATCTCTTGTACACATTCGTATGATTTATTGTACAACAAAAGGCAGACATTCATCTTGTCTTTAAGAATACTTTCACTTGTTCTTTGTGGTTAGTTCTCATGTTTAGGTAGCAGCTAAATTTAGACATCCTAAGCACCAAGGAAAACAAGATGCAATTAAATACTGTTATCACGAAGATACTTATTTCACGAAAATTAAGATACTGTGATTTTCAGAACCCCCCAATTTAAATGCATATCAATTACATAATACTTCTGGAAGTCGAGTGTACTCATCATACCATTGCTCCTTCACAGAAAAAAAAGAAAGAGAATTATTCATTTTTTTTAAATAATTTTTTCTCTTTACTTTAGGAGCCTGTGAAGGAGAGTGCTCCGGCTAATTTCAAGGAGAAAGAACTCCCAACGTCACCAAGTCGTGGAATAACTACATGAACAAACTGCTGATACAAGACTTTCAGGCGGCCACTCTGCAAGTCATGGACTCACCATATGATGAGGAGTAAGTTATTTTGGTGGTGGTGGTGATGGTGATGGTGGTGGTGGCAGTGATGGTGATGGTGGTGGTGGTGATGGTGGTGGTGGTGGTGATGGTAGAGGGTTGAAAAGTATTGTTTGATGGTGGCAGTAGATGTGGTGATGATAACTGGTGGTGGTAGTGATTTTAACCCTTTTGCAACAATCATTCTTCATCTTGTGGTTTAATTGGCTCCATAACTTCTTATTCAGAGCCCTAAAAAATATGAAAGATACATGAGTAGAAGGGGCAAAATTTCAGCACACACGGAATCCAGTTTTGTTTTATTTTATTGCATGTAATGCTAGGAATTTTAGACATGATAACAAGCTCTAAAATCCTTAAATTGGCAACACGTAGTGAGATTTAGAATCAATGTTT